CTCTGTCTGTGCAAAGCAAACATTATTATGAGGAAAATCACCCAGATATGTAAATCAATGTCAATGTTTTGTGGCAGAAAATGACATTAGCACACTTTGACTTGACAATGTATCACCACTGGATTTGATTATGACGTTCAAATACATCAATGATTTAGCACTGACCTCATGTACTCTGTGTATGCCTAATTGTTTGTTTGCTTATTCTTACTGACTTTAACTTCTATCTTAGGACAAAGAAACAGAATATCTACAAATGGTATCCTAATTGCATGACTAAAAATTTTAATTCGAAATTGGATCTGCCATCAAAGTAGGCAGGCGTTGGTCCTCACTATCAAAAGATTAAATATAAACATGGAACTGAACGTTAAAAAAATGGACTGTGCAAGAACATTGGACCAGTAAAACCTTTTTTCTTCCTTACTTGATTGATCTTCTTTTGAAATTCTATATAAATGTCTTCCTTTACGTTTTCTGCCCGATTTTTCCTGCCAAATCTTCATTAGCCACATTTATACTATAGATTTAATCTCTGCTTCACTGTATTTATTACTAATGTTTACTTGGTTCTTTTGTGCTGCTTTTTTAGCATAGAAATCTGCCAGCTCATAACCCTGCACTCCTATATGCATTGGAACCCATAACAAAGTAACCTGCACACCATGCCTTTTTATTCTAGTAACACTGTGAACAATATCATAAATTATATCTTGTCTAGATTTTGAATACATTTCCTTATTAATAATCAGAGCAGTGCTAGAATCTTAACAAACAATAACTGAGACAGGTTTTGCTTCTTCTACCCATTGTAGTGACAGCATTAATGCCACTAGCTCTCCTGTATAAAAAGACAAATTATCTTTGGGCTACATAATTTGATAAAATGCAAAGGAATGTGGCTGGCACACTCAATGACTGATTGGGTGGTACCATCCGGAGTTCCACTAAGGGTGAAGACCATGGAGTTTATATTTTAATATGCTACGTAATCTTTTCATTCTTTTGCTTTTGTGATTTGCTCATTTTGTTAATTTTGTTTAGTTATTAGTAATCTAAGTTTAGTCCTCAAGCTAACTTTTTGTTAAATTTGTATAGATGCTCTCCCTACCTCTTCCTCAGTGGGTAGCCTGGTCTGATCAGCCAGTATTTAAGTCCCCTTTGTTTGCTGTGTGTCAGGTCAGTTTGTTTGTGCAGTAACCTTGAGTTTTTGTTTGTTTTAACCTTGATGTTTTTTGCCCTACATTAGTCTCAATGTTTGACCTCTTTTAAGGGCCCTGTCAATATTATTTGGATTCTTGTTACTTTGGGAAAATAAAACCTATTTTCTTGATAATCACCACTGTGTCCTCGTGCTTGGCTGCCTCGTTCCCTCACACTCCTGGTAACTGCTGTGGGATGGAGAGTACAGACAGCAGCTACGTGACCAGGGTCCAATTTGCGACATGACAACACTGTCTTACCTCTGGATCCATATTATCAGTTTCCAGGAGCATAATGTACAGAAACGGCAGCCTTCCTGGCTCCCTTACACTTTGCACTAGCTACCATACTGCTTGCAATCATTGGCAAGTTCTTCCATCTCTGCCCACTGCCATTCGTTTTTAATTCCTTCTTCAGTTAGGAAGGTTTTCTCCAGGCTTCACAAACTTCGCTTCCATCTAGTGTTACTACTGTTGCTAACGTTAACACACAATTCAATGCCCTCTCTGCCATCTTGGATGTGGCTTGATCATGTAACTAACCCACACTCAACCTGTGATTGGGTCATAGTACACAGTGGTTTTGTGATGTGCTGCTGACATCAATACCTTTGTTCATAGATGTTGGAGATCGGTCTGTTTTCCAGTGTAGTCCTGTTTCTCTGACTGTGACTGGCTGGATGTGCTCTCTTCATCCTCTGACATGGGAGCTGTCATGTTGGGGTCTAGGCATCTAACCCACATGCAGAAATCACTCTTTGAGACGGAGAAAAAGTTAAATGATTTATTTAACAATGTTTACAAGTAAATGGGTGCACAGGATCTTGGGTCGTCAGACTGGTCACGGGAGGGAAGCCACTGAGGAGGACAGAGCAGTTAGATTTGATCCAGGAAACTTGCAGTTTACAGATGATGGGGTTAAATACCTGCTCAGAGAGTAATCTGATCAGCAGGGGGGGAAACTTGTGGGTCCAGAGGCTAGTCGGCAGGCAGAGGCCTGAGGGCAGAGGCAGAGACTGAGGCCCCGTCCACACGAAGACGAACCCTGGCCTAAACGCACAAATTTTTCACCAAACCAGCCTCTCATCCACACGAAGCCGGCATTTCGGGGGTCTGTAAACAATCTTTTTTTTATTCAGCCTTCAGAGT